ATGAAGTGCTGGCAGCAGGGCAGAGTACCGCCAGTCTCTACCCATACAAAGTCCCAGCTGAAGCTCTGGTAACAGGACAGAGGGTCCAGGACCTCTGCCCTACACCGTAGCAGTTCCCGGGGTCCAGGGAGAGGAGGTGGTCATCCTCCCTAGCCAGTGGCAGTTCAGGGACTCTGGAGCGAAGGAAGTCATCCTCGCTCTACAGCGGGAGTACAGGAGATGAAGTAGCCAGCTCATCTCCCTAGCAGCAGTTCCACAGTCTGGGAGAAAAGGTGGTTGTCTTCCCTCCCCAGCAGCAGTTTCACAGTTCAGGAGAGGAGGTGGTTGTCCTCCCTCCCCAACAGTCAGCCAGAGCGGAGGAAACTGTTTTCCCTTCCCAGAAAGGATCTGTGCACCTGGGAGACCGTACCAAAGAAATGTCGTCCCAGCAGACGGATGAGGGTACAGAAGATGAAGCAGCTGGCTTATCTCTCCAATGGCAGTTCAATGACCAGGGAGGGGAGAAAGTTGTCCTCACTCCCCAGTAGGAGCTTCACAGTCCAGGAGAGGAGGTGGTCATCCTCCCTCCCCAACAGTCAGCCAGAGCGGTGGAAACGGTTTCCCCTTCCCAGCAAGGATCTGTGCACTTTGGAGACCGTTCCAGAGAAATGTCATCCCAACAGCTGGGTGAGGGTACAGGAGAATGGAGCAGATGGCTCATCTCCCCAGCTGTAGTTTAAGGACCAGGGAAGTGAAGAAGTCCTCCTCCCTCCCCAGCGGCAGTTCCACAGTCCAGGAGAGGAGGTGATCGTCGTCCTTCCCCAGCTGCAGATCCACAGTCTGGGAGAGGAGGTTTGTCATCTTCCCCAGCAGTAAGTCTCCAGTCCTGGAGAGGAGGTGGTTGTCCTTTTTGTTTTGTTATGTTTTTGGGGGTTTATTCGATATGTGCAGATAGATCACACAAATACTTATAAGTATAACGTTTATTACAAGTAATAACAGATACAGATAAAGAAATTATAACAAGAATACTTAACTAAAGATGCTGTTTCCACCATGGGGTCCCTCCATTATATGGCATGGCACACAGGTGACCACAGACACATGCCTATTGCAGTTATGACATGAGACAAATATTTCCAGTATAGCTGTGTGTTATATACTGGACTTGTGTGTAAGCAAATTACAACCCACCCCCATGCAAACAACATGATGACCTTCTAAGAAAGATAGCACATTCCTGAAAGGAGAGTAGTGGTCTGGCTTGGCTAGTCCAAATAGTCGGCTTACAATGAGATTCCTATAGTCAGCTAGGATAACAAGAATAACTAGGATATTAGAGACTTTATTAGAGATTTGTGAGACCAATATTAATAAGGAAATATGTAATTTGCAATTACCCAATCATCCTTCTTATCCAACAGTTAGCCAGAGCAGAGGATGTGGGTTCCCCAGCTGAAGCGCTGGCAACAGGGCAGAGCACCTCTGGCCTCTGTCCAGCACCTACCATGTCTACAGGGCTCCAGGGGGTTGGGAAAGTTGGACCCTCTCCTCAGTAGCAGACTGAGCCCCGGGAAAGTAATGACTTCTCGGCTGAAGCACTGTCAGCCAAGCAGAGGGTCTACAATCTCTGCCCTACACCTACTGATGACAAGTCTTCCCTTCCCTTCGACTATGTGGGTTTACTTTGCCTGACTTATGTATGTCCAGACCAGGTAGAGATTAGTCTACTTTTAAGGAGGGAGAAATGTGACAGACCCAGCCACTGCAGGGGCTTTCAGACTGGACTAGGACCTAGCCTCCTACTCACTGATTATGGCCTATGCTGGAGACCGGGGGTTTTGGCTGCTTCTCCCAGTCAGAGCATGGAAAAGAGCATAGTTCAGCCTCTGATCACATGGAGAGAGGGGATAAATCTGAGATGATAGATGATGATGTAATGAATGCTGAGAGCGAGGCTTGGATAAATTTTAAAGTAAAGACAGTAAAGCTTCCTTTCTGGAGTGGATGGAAAGGTGTAATATTAATCCTATACAGGTTAATGATCAGAGGAAATATGGGGCCCTCCTGCAGACTGGGTTGGAGAAGCTCCACTTGGGACATAAATAGTTAGCAACAATGTCCCTCAAGAAATGTATGAAGATAGATGAAGTCCACTTTTTCAGACTGAATATGGTATGAGTTTTGTCTAATAATGAACAGATTGTACAAGTGAAAGCAAACACCTGAAAGACAGCATGTATAATTGAATTTGTGTATTCAGGGTTGGAGGTGCCGGGGGCGGTCTGTGGTGGGCTCCCTGGCTTGTCTGATGCAGCTCTGGATGCATCACTGCGTTATGGATCTTAATGCAACACAATGCACCTGTGTTAAGATCCATAAAAAAGCTACACAGCTATAAATGCAACTTTTTTATTTATAAAAATATACCACTCAAATTCAAATGAAGTAAAAGTGCTTGTAAACATTGGCCGGTAACATAAAAAATGGCTTCCTGCAAACTTCCGCTTGCACAATGACGTCACGGCAAACTCCTCCTGACGTTTTCAATCCCACCTCACGTCCATGTCACAGAGGTCATCAAGTGTGATCAAACGTGTCAGTCGGAGCTTGCTGTATTTCTGATGTGTCAATATTGGGATGGACGGGTAATTGAGAAACCTTCTCCAAGCACCTTCTGAGATGAATATGGTGTCTTCTACCCTCTGATGATCACTACGAAGATCTGTGAATTATGCAAATGTTGACCGTTAACCAGAAGGTCACACATTTCTGGTAAGCCTTGCATGGTGTTGCTTGGTGGAGGATCCTTCCGGCTTTCTGGTAGATACTCCCATCCTACAGTTGTCATTTGGTGTGTCATACTAACAATCACTATTCCAGTCTTTGGGACTTTGTTATATATTTTGCATTGCACTTGGGAATTTGGACATCTAATGTTTGATGCCCAGTCTGTGTTTATTCTTAGCACATTTATTAGCGCAACACTTGCTTTATGCTTTTTTGTGACTATATTATCTCAGTGTGTTTGCAGCTTTTGTAGGGTTTTCAGAATTTTTCATTTATTTACCCAAGCACAGTTCACATACCGTATTTTTCACTATTTAGAGTATTACAAGTCAATATATTTTAACTTGCTTTGCCGGCCAAGCTGTCTAGATAAAGGCACACAAATCCATATTCAGTCATTGATAGTTGCATAGCTACAAAATTATTTGATAATTTTCATTAAAATGTAACTGCAGTAAAATGTGGATGTTAATTATTATCAAGTCTGTAGTGAGTTTACCTGATAAATCCTTATATTAGAAGAAGGTGGCCCTTGCTTTTCTCTTTGTATTTGGATACACATATTCTGTGAACAGAAATTTTGCACGCTTGAAAATAAGTCTATCTCCACTTACAACAGATAATATAGGAGTGCAGCTGAACGATCTGGACCTCATATTCCAGAGGCTGGATATAGCAGAACTGAACTGCGGCTATGAGGTGGCACTATTCCTTCAACTGGCAACAATACTTATAAATGGACACTTAGAGGCCCATTCACAGTTACCTGCATTTTTCTGCTTGGATTAGAATGCAGTGTTACATTGTGTTCCAGGATGTGCATGCTTAAAGAGAAGTGTGGGTTAAAAAACCAACAGTCAAACATTCGTACTTCCCTAGGTGGCTACATCACAGATCCTCTGCCACCTCTGCACCGAGAACTGAGCGATCAAAGACTGCTGATCGCTCAGTTCTCAGGTCTGCTGTGAGCAGAGAGCGATGGCTATCAGTCACCACTTTCTGCTTTGCCCCTCCAGTACTCACTGGAGTGCTGGGCTGTTGAGGAGACGCAAGTGTCTGGCTCAGGCTTTTAGTAGGGTGCCAAGTGGCTGAGCCAGCTGATGGTCAGGCATCTGGGCAGAGCCCAACAATATTGTCGGGATCCCTGCGGAGCCTGGACCAGCTCTGTGACATCACCTAACAGCAGGCTTTAGCCAGAAGTAAGTTCACACCTGTGATCCACAGGACAAGTATGGCCAAAAAAGCTCTCTTTCAAACTAAGTTGTTTTTTTTTGCATGTTTACCTGAAGCTCTTAACATTTTTAACAGGCATTCAGCTTTAAATCTATAATAACATTGTTGAGCTCAATGTCCCCTAAAAGTTTAGTTTCATCTGTGTCATTCTCCATCCAAATTCATCTAGAGAAAAGGAGAAGCTCAGGCATTGCCGTAGTGATGTATTGAACACCCCCATACCAGTGTTCTTAATCTTCGTATAGGATTATGAATTTTGGAGCAATGAAATCTCACTTTTGATATAAATTAGATTGAACCCAGTGTTGTTCATGGATAAATAGGACAACTGTGACTCCTAATACATGCTCATTTCTCATCCTGGCACAATACAAGTAGATATTTTTCATAGCGATGTGGTGAATGAGAATTCTTAAGAAACTGTTGTGTGTAACAATGCAATCACTACAGATTGGCAGCATGTTGCCTTTCAGCAAACCCTTGACATGATTATTCTTCTGTATGGAATCATATTTTTTAGCAGCAGCTCTTATAATAGCAGCCACTAAAGAATGATTTTAAGAGTAGGAGGAAAGGAACATGGGGTTTGGCAATGTGCTAATTTCCTTTCAGTTAACACCCAAGATTGCCCTAGAATAGGAATTAAATATGAATAGCTACCAGGGACGGAGAATTGGTGAGCATCCGTAGAAACTGTCATTTCAACATAACTCCAGAAGAAGGTACAAAGCCTCGTTCATGTGACATGTCTTCTCTCTGATTATGACCAGTTACATTGCAGACCCCGGCTAACCCAAATGGTAATTTTAAGTTCAGTGTGTCTAGATAGATTTCATTTTCACTATATACATATAGCTTCAATTGACTTCTGCAACTTGGAAATAGTTGAAGGAATTATTCACAGAGGTGTCCTATTCATTTATAGAGCACGCCCCGTTTACGTTTTGGGTGGAGAGCGTCAAAGTTTACTGCACGTTTACCTCACTCCCTCTGTCCCAAGGGACGGACTGACCATTTGGAAACTCGGGCACTGCCCGAGGGCCCGGGGTCAGTAGGGGGCCCCATGATATGCCCCTGGTACCTTTTCCATAGGCTTTTTTGAGTTTAGACAAGGACACGGGCCCCATGATCCCCTATTGCCCGGGGGCCCCATGAGTTGTCAGTCCGCCCCTGCTCTGTCATATATGGAGTGTGTTGTCAGTATATTTGCAGAGAAAGCACTGGGAGCACAGTGAGACTGTAGTTCTGGTGTTCTCCAAACATCCAATTATGGTTCAGGGTTAGTGACTTGGAGAAGGATGGAAGTGAGTGGCATGATAGCCAGGCATCTAGCAATTTCAGAATGAGAGATCAGCAATGGTTGGGTCCTTCACAATGTGACATAAGTCTAACTTTTCGTTTTACATCCTAATATAGGAGTTTCTAAACTTATTAAGCAAAGGGGAAGTTTACTGTCCTCCAGACTTTATGGGGGGATGGGGGTGGGGGGGGTTGGACTGTGGTCAGTGGGAGTAGAGACTTCCCCAGAATTAGTGGGAGTAGAAAATGTCTCGGGCTTGGTGGTGATTGGGAGTAAAAAAAAAAACAAAATTACACAGCACCTGAGGTCAATAGGAGGAGCTATAGTGCCCCATCATTGGTGTCAGTGGGAGGAATAGTGCCCAATTGTTTTATCAGTATAAAGAGTTATGCCCCTTCATTGGTGTCAGTGGGAGGAATAGTGTCCCATCATTGGTGTCAGTGGGAGGAATAGTGACCCATCATTGGCATTAATGCTAAGAATAGTACCTCATTATTGGTGTCAGTGGGAGGAATAGTGCCCCACCATTGATGTCAGCGGGAGGAATAGTTCTCCGTCTTTGGTGTCAATAGAAGGAATAGTGTCCCATCAATGGTGTCGATGAAAGGAATATTGCCCCTTCATTGGTGTCAGTGGGAGGAATCGTGCCCCATCTTTTGTGACACATTACCTTATTCCCCAGCCATACTGGTTGGGGAAAGGGCCTTCAAGACCAGAAGTAAAAGAGGGGGATCAGCAAATGTCCATTCGCTGATCTCCCTCCCCTCTGCCCGGCGGCACCTGCCATGCTGGTCCTGGGTCTGCCAATGAGTACCAGGAAACAAGGCAGGGGGGGCGGAGCATGTGGGGATTTGTGGAAGTGAACAGGCTGCACAGCTATTGGATCACTTCCATCTGACAGTTTACTGTCAGATTTACACATGCTTCTGGCAGCTGTAGCCAATGAAAGTGTGTGTAAACTCCAGAATGTATGGTGTATATGTCAGTTTAGGTTTTTATTACTACCTGTGTCCCTGTTAGGGAAATGTATGCTCTGTTTATGAACCAATGACCAATATCACTGATTTTGAGTGGTCACTAGAATAGGAATAGATTGGAAATCTTCCAGTGGGGACACTGGTGATCATTGTGACAACCAGGGATTCCTTCACTTTGGAGGGATTTCCTCTCACTGTTTTGGCTATGGGACAAGCGTTGAAGAAAAATCTTCCCTAATGGAACAAAGAAGGCAAAAAAAACTTAGAATAACCATCCCTTACTCTATCCAAGATGAAAAATATAGTTTTGTCTTCAGCTCTACTTTAAAATATTCATCCCCTTCAGTTTAAAACCCAGATCTCATTAGCACATTAATGTTATTTCAGAAGTCATTTTCAATTATTATTTATTTTTTTTAGTAATACCTGGTAGTCCCTGTCAGGGGTGGACTGACCATTTGGAAACTCGGGCACTGCCCGGGGTCAGTAGGGGGCCCCATGAGATGTCCCTGGTACCTTTTTCATAGGCTTTTTTGAGTTTGGGCAAGGACAAAGGGGCCCCATGATCCCCTATTGCCCAGGGGCCCCATGAGCTGTCAGTCCGCCCCTGGTCCCTGTTTCCCAATGGAGCTCCTGCATTGTTACTCCATCACAAGTGATTCGCATTAGTAACTCTGCCCAGTGTGCAGGCATACTCTGACAGGAAGTCCACCCTGATCAGCGGCAGGCAGCCACTGCTGGAACCAGTAGATGTAGATAGGAAGTGGCTAAAAAAGGATGGAGGAGATGAACAGCACCATGATGCAAAACAAAAAAAAAAAGTTTTAAAAAAGGGTGGAAACCATTAACAAATTTTAAAAAAGTATATTTTTAGTAAACATCATCCAGTACATCTACATTAACCAGTTCCCCAGTACATTTACTGCAGGCAGGCAGCACTGGGGGCAGGCTGGATAACGTACATGTACGTCATCCAGCCTCTTCCGGGTTAGGCCAATGGAAGTTACACCCAAGCATAGGCCCCCCACCCCCTCTTACACGCATGCACAAACGTAAAAGCACATGAAGATGTCGCTTGCGATAGACGTTACATATCACCACGCACGCCAGAATGAGAGCAATAATTCTAGCACCAGACCTCCTCTGTGACACTATACTGATGACCTATAAAGGGCTTTAAAAGTGCCACCTATAGAAAATATAGGGTCCTAAAGTTTGTTGCCATTTCACGAGCGCATGCAAATTTAGGTTTGACATGTTGGATATCTATTTACTCGACGCAACCTCATCTTTTATATTTTACAAACAAATTGGATAATTTATTGCTTTTTGTATCCTAAAATTAGCTAAAATTTTGCGTCTCCTAGACCTTTGTGATGATATCGTGTGACATAAAAAAATTGGATTTACTGCTATTTTATTCTCTAGGATCTCTGATTTCAGAAAATATATAATGTTTGGGGGTTTGTGTCATCTTCAGGCCTTAAATGTTTTTTTAAATATGTGCAAATAACGCAAAAACGGCTCTGGCAGCAAAAGGGATAACGAATATGCCCGTCACTCCCCTTTCCTGACAAGCAGCCAATCGGTGCTCATTACATTGCAAGGTCTCACTCCCCCCTGCTAGTCGCCGAGTGCGGTGCTGGAGACAGGAAGGGTGGGGAGGAGGAGATATACAGCGCAATGTTAAAAATATTACACGTTTAAGTCGCCATAAAGTCCCTCTTTGTTTTTAAAAGCCCCAGACATTACTTAAAGCACCTCAGATTTAAATACGGTTTTGGTTAAAATTTTTAAGTTTTTTTATCAGGACAAGTAGATTGTCACGAGGGACAAGTAGATTGGGACACCGATTTTAGTCCCTGGACAAGTAGTTTAAGAAAAAAAAAAAAGTGTGGAAACTTCTTGAAGAGCCCTCGTATAACATACATTACACTTGTTAGACACACAGTTAACCCCTTTGATTGTCCCTTGATGTTAACCCCTTCCCAGTCAGTGTCGTTAGTACCGAGAGTATAGTATTACATCTGATCACTGTATTAGTGTCAGTCAGGTAGTATACCACCTAGCCAGGGTCTATCCAGATTGCCCGCCGCACTATCACAGTCCCACTATAAGTCACTGATCACTGCCATTTCCAGTATAGCTGCATAAATTCCAGTATATTTACCACAGTTTGTAGACGCTATAACTTTCACACAAACCAATTAATATACACTTATTGGGATTATGTTTTTTTCTTTTTACCAAAGACATGTAGCAGAATACATTTTGACCTAAATTTATGAAGAAATTTGATTTCTTTATTTTTTATTGGATATGTTTTATAACAGAAAGTAGAAAATATTGTGTTTTTTTTTTTTTTTGTTTTTTTTTTAAACCCCAGTGGTGATCAAATACCACCAAAAGAAAGCTCTGTTTGTGAAAAAAAGGTCACAAATTTCATTTATGTACAGTAGTGCATGAGCAAGCAATTGCCAGCTAAAGTAGCACAGCACTAAATAGTAAAAAGACCCTTGGTCATGAAGAGGGTAAACCTTTCCAGAGGTCAGGTGGTAATAACCAAAAGTCATGAAGTAAATCTAGACTATGAACTGGATGGAAGTGGATTGGAGGGCAGGGACTGCATGCTGAGAATATAGGTACTATTATTGTGTTAAACACAGGGTAGTGGTTCTTCTCCCATATTCGTATCGCCAGCAATTAATAATAGGTTCATTTAATTGGGTATTTATGCCATACCTATTTATCTCCTTTTACACTGCATAACATGGGATGCATGAGTATTTCTAAATGAATATGATGTTCCCAGCCTCAGATTTTTTACATCTTACCTGTCCAGTTATTAATGACCTGTTAGAGAGAAGTACGGTAGTTATCTTCTTTGCTAATTTACTAAAGCAACCTCTCTGCACAATTGATATATGCCTTTTGGTTTAATAGATGAAGAGCACTGGTCACATGATACCAGAATATTTCCAAGGACTGGTGATGGTCTGAACACCCCCCTGTTCGATTCGCGGTAGAACGTTTGAGCCTAAAAAAAGTTCTACCGCGAACATCGAACATAATGCAAGTCTATGGGCCTCGAACTTGTAAATTCAAAAGTGCCCATTTTGAAGGCTTATATGCAAGTTATTGGCCATAAAAGGGGTATGGGGACTTGGGTACTGCCCTGAGGGACATGAATCAGTGAAAAAAAACATTTCAAAAAGTACTGTTTTTAAAGGGGCAGTCATTTTTCATTGCTTAAAGTAAAAGAAAAGTAAAAATTCCTTTAAATATCATGCCTGGGGGGGGGGGGGGTGTCCCACTTAACTGCCTGCAAAGTTGCACACCTGTACAATGTATAGAACCTGCTGCAGCATGTCATTTTTATAAAAAGACAGCATGGGCCCCCCTTATCTATACCAGACACTTTAGGTCTGGTAGGAAGGTTAGGGGGGGAATGTGTGGGGGTCCCCCCTAAATTCCTTGCAGACCCTTGATCTGAACCCAGGTCTGGCAGGCCAGGAAAGGGAGAGGGGACGAACAAGCAACCCCCCCACCTCCCCTGAGCCTACCAGGCAACATGCCCTCGGCATTGGGCCCCAATATCCATGCGCCCCCTATGAGAATCAGTATGCGGTACCATTCACAAAAAAAAGTGTAATGTAAAAATGACAGTAAACAGTCTTTGACAAGTCCTTTAATAAAAACAAAAAAAATGTCCCTTGAAGTAGATCCAACGTCAATCACGATGCCCATCGCCACCGTCGATCCAAAAAAGAAAAAAAAAAAACGCTCTGCCCTAGACGCTGGCTGCCGCCATCTGACAGCTACGCTGGGATGACCGTTCTTAAATAGGGTGATGATGTGACAAGAGAGCGGGATCACCCCCGCCCCTTGTGACGTCATCATGCCCTGTAATTGGCCAAAGCATAGCACCTAACCTATGGTCAGG